GTGGGCGCCCGGGATCCGAACCCGGGCCGCCAGTAGCGGAGCATGTGCACTTAAGCGCTAAGCCACGGGCCGGCCCTGTACAAACCATTCTTAACTTGCAGGCCATAAAAAACAGGTAGCAGGCTGAAATTTTGTCCATAGGCCATAGTTTGTCAATCTCTGGTGTTGACCGTTTATTAATAATGCCAATCTCTGCTTGTGCTCTTACCTAATCATCCATGACAAGTAAATAATTTGAAATCATAATTGATACATAAACAACTGTTGGTTACAATTTGGAGGCAAGGATGAAATAATTAAATCTTTAAATAAACAGGCTCTTGGAAGCTGACAGAGGGCATAGTCTATTTGATCAAATGACTCTTTAAAAAATATCTTCTTTTGTGGCTGAAATCTGGAAAACAGTAGGAAGAAATTAACAGGCCACACAGACTGACCACCTACGCAGAGAAGTCAAGCAGTGAATGGTCATGGAAACAGTAACCCCAACAGGTTCTTTCTGCTTTCCGTCAAATAAGAAATAGACATGCCTGTTTTAGTCAGGGTCTAGCTAAAGGAGGGATTAAAATTTGGCACATAAAATATCAGAGCGTCCCCCCCTGCCGCCCTTCCACTGACCTGGATGGCCAGTTAGTGCAGAGATGTGAGTCCACAGCGGATGGAGACCGATGAGTAGAGACAGTGCGTTAGGAGCCTCACTGTATGGGGTTCACAACAACGATCTTACTCCATCTACCACAGGGGCTTTCAGTGGCATAAATGAGATGCATTAAGTCATTCTTGGTGTATAATGATGAGTGTGCATTGACATAAAATCAAGTAAAATAGGTTACTAAGCATTAAAAAATTCTGAAGCAGCAAATAATACAGTATTCCATCCAGGATCCTGGCATCCACAATGAGGAAGCATGGCAGGGAGGTCGAAGGATGGCTGTAGCTGCTCCGGACCCCACAGCAGTGCCTGGCTGGCTGTGACAGAAGCCTGGGCAAACTGCAGAACTTTAGGGATTCCCGAGCTCAGGGCTTGGATGAGGCGGCTGCTGCACCTCAGCAGATTTTGCAGTGAAGCAAAGTGATTAATGCTCAGGTGGGACAAGGAAATCCAGATTTGGATGCACGTGTTTTTAAAATCAGACTTACATTTTTAGAGGGCCAATCATTTGGCGGCAGATTGACTTGAAGAGAGCAATGGCAAGCAACCTCTGAATACACAAACAAGCATCCTGAATTTTATCAATTCAGATTTACCTAGTTAAATTAGCCACAAATGCTCTGATGAAAACAGGAACAAAAGAATGTTGTGGGGCATATTCTTCACACAAAGGGAACACATTTTAGTGGAAAGCTAACATATAGTGGATATTATCCAATGGAATAGAGGGGATCAGGGTTGGTATTAATGTGAAGCAACATGACAATTCAGTTATCTCTGATAACTGAATTGCCGACCGAGGAATGGACGTCTTTCTGAATATGTGAGAGACAGATATGGAAGAGGGTTGAAACACATAGATCCAGAAGAGACCAAGGTATGTTACAAAGGATCCAACTAGGAGAGCTATCTACTCTTCGTGTGAGAAAAAGGAATGACACCCAACTGTAGCACATGATTTGAAATGCATTGAAAGCTGTGGGTGTCACCAGAGTCTGCCATGCCGATGACGATAAAGCTTTTTAGGACAAGGATTTTAAAATTTAAGACAGTTGAATTGGGAAAGTGCTTACAACTTCTTGTAATTAACTTCTCCTTGGAAAAATATCTGTTCTGGGGGAAGAAATATTTTAAAATGTGTTATTTTAGCTGAAGAGCAATTTTTAGCCAAAAAGTATTTACTAATGAGTTTCAGTGGTGGGTTTAAAAAAATATTTCTTCTCTGAGCTGATGTGGCTACATCTTTTCTCCATTTGTATGTCAAGAGAACACAGAATGAATGTTTTTCTCTTAGTTTATCTAACATATTGGGATAAAATACACAATTCACTTAAGGATAAATGTCAAGAAGAAAAACTGAAGTATACTTCCAAGCGAAATTTATTAGATGTCTATTCAAGAAAAACACAATGACCTTTGCTTGTAAGAATTCAAAGTCAATGACCTGAAAGGCAGGTATGAATATTTTTCCTTTTAAAATCAGATACAGAGTGTAGAAACAGTAATTTTTCTTAAATGTGACAGGCAACAGATATTGAAGTCTTTTCTCATTAACGGCATCAAAGATAATTGTCCATTTATCAGCGAAGCTGCATGCAGTTGACCTAATTTCAAACCCAAAGCCTTTAAAATATAAAGCTGATTGTGAACTTGACAGCAATCAAGGTAGGCTGATCAAAGATGTTTCTTTACTTCCTTCCTAATGAAATTCCTCTGTAATCAATATTTATGTACATTTCAGTTTGGCTGCTGAGATCTTTTAGGTTCTTAAACTTTTGCATAAATGCTATCTTACAGAATCGCACTATCAAGGTGGGTTTATGATCTGTGGGATATGTGAAGGATAATCTGCTGAAAGTGTTTTAGCTTAGTTTAAGTGAAGGATAAAGACCAAATTAGGAAATTCCCCTGTTTTCTCAACAACTAAACAGTCTGTACAAAAAAAGAGCAAACATATGTACAAAATTCTAGAGTCTACGTACGTTGTGAAAAGATCGATCACTGTCCACAGAAGAAATGCCATAAAAAGTTTTATCTGTAAGGTGCTCAAGATCCAAATATGAAGAGTTCTTACGCAAAGTCATAAGAAATACAAAGCTAGTTCTCAGGGTATGTGTAACTCAGGCGCTGTTAACCACGTTAAATCTTTCAGGTCCCAATATCATTTTGTAAGTTTCTACTTCAGAGCAGAAAATATAACCTGAATGATTTACATTGCCTCTAAAAAGTGCCTAGTTTATTCCAAGGAAATATTTTACACACACCAGGAAAATCAGGCTCAACATATTCCTGCCCTCAAATGTAGCCAGGATTCTGAGTTCCATAGAAGAAAAATAATTATCATAGTAAAAATAACTGTATTGATCATAATCCTTGCTAAAACCAGCCTTAATACTTGTGATGCTTCCGAAGTACTCTATTTCTATAAAATAATGTGTGGGATTCTTTTACATTTCCATAAAATGTACAACATACCATATGGATTGTCTGTTCTCACACAATCTCAAATGTATGTATGTACACACAGTGAAATCTTACCTATGAATATTGCTTACAGATACTTTCAAGTGTCTATGTTAGAATAATTCCTTGCACCTCTCACTAACACTGCTTTTATTAAAATTTTATCAGATAAATAAAACACTAAGAGCTCATTGTTCATGATGCTGATTATTACATTTTAATATAAAATAACAATGCAACTTTACAACACAATAGTTTTTTTTTGTAGTCTAGCTAAACCGCTTATATTCTCGTGATTATGACCAAAGGCTCTTATTCACTTACTATTTTGCACTTCTAAAAAGTACAAAAAAAACTGCAGGAAAAAAGACTCCTATTTGAAACCTCACATTCAATCAACAAAATCACACTCATTCGAATTAACTTTCCTACTCTTGCTTTAGATTTTGTAATCACTGTGCATATTACAACATATAAGTGCAGGCAAACGATAGCTGAAGTACAGTTGTCATATCGTGTAAACCAGGACACTAGGCAAACTCGTGAAAGAAAAATGGACTGCCAAGCTCAGAATGTGAAAATGCAAACCACAGCATTTAGTAATAAATGATTTTCTGGTTGCCTGAGGGGAGAGCATCTTTCAAAGGGGACCAGAGAGCCTCCTTGAGACATTTTCCTTTTTTGCCTCAAATACTTAAGCCTTTTTAAGTATAATGATTTTCTTTCTGATCCCTCATATCGACTTTTCAAAGTTTAGAGCAGAAAGCAGGAATATGCACTTTCACACGGAAGCAAGTCTTCCAATCTCCCCGAGGCTCGGCAGGGACAGTCACTTTGCTGGTGGTTTGGTGGCAGGTGGAGATGGTGTTAGTGGGTGACTTCTATTGGAAACCAGGAGGCATGACAGCGGGAGGGCTGCGGGGATCTTTCAGGCAAGGTTATGCAGATGTGGTGCTGAAAGTCAGCATAAATAAAGGGGGAGAGTGATTCACAGTCTCTTGACATAGTTTCCTGGAAAAGTACCAAAGAATTTGGTTCTCCTTGAGGTTCCTGAAAACAGAAGCAATAAGTGAAATTAACAACAATGAAACATCAGTCCATATTTGTGGGCTTGAAAACTGCTCACTTACAAGGCTTCACTAAGAGAGCAAGCCCAGCAGGGTTTGGAAGCGAAGAGAGTTCACTTTAAGACAAGAGGAAGACAGAGTAAGCAGTCTGTCCTGCCTGATGCCTTCATTGCCTCTGAAGCTTACATGCCGGCTTCCATCACATCAGGCTAACCCGAAACGCTCAGCCTTCCACTCTGAAGGGAAAGCCAATCCTGCTGAGGAGGCGGGTGGTGGCACCCGCTCCCCACAGGAAGAGGAACAGCATTTGAGAAGTGACAACTTCAAATCCAATCTTCCAAATAAGGACGAGGCTAGTAGTGTGATAGGATGGACTGGAAACACACAACAGCAAGGCTGGGTTCGGTGAGCAAAAGGTGTCACATCTCCTCAACACAGGTGTAACATTAAAGCATTATCAGGGACGCTGTCCCTATCCAGTTTTATTATCTCATAAAAGATCACACTGAATGCCACACCATTCATTTGCATTCATTTGTCCTTCATAAAATATAGAAAATTTGAACAAATTAAAAAGTCACTAAAGAAAGAAAAAGACCCACACTATTTGCGGCCGGGGGGTTCTGTCATCGGTCGTGGCTTCTAATATGAAAAGTGGAACCAAATGCACACATGGCCATCATTATGATCGCCTTTGGTTTCAAATAATATAATTCCTTTGAAATTTTTTGTAAAAGTTAGTGCACTAAATTCTTCCTTAGAATTTCCAGCTCAAACAGAGTGAATGGGGTCTCTAAGTTCTGTTTCTCATCTATGCTCTGGAACCTACTGTCCTGGTTTGATGATTGATTTTCTTTTTTCTGTGTAGGTAAGCCATTTTATTTTCTTCTAAATGGGGAATTAACATAAACAGAGGTAGAGGCTTGTGGCTGCAACTGTGGCCTTCATTCTTTTATTATTTCTCCATTGATTGCCTATCTATAGAAAGCCCTCATTAACTCATCTTTCATCTCCTCCATCCTCCTATGCCTTTATTTCTTTACCTCTTTCCTCTGTGTCCTGTTGAATGAAATGCTTGTCTACAAATGTTTTCTCAGAAAACCTCTAGTCTTCTTTTAAGCTGGTGAGAATAGGATTCTCTTTTAAGTGGTAAGAATGGAATTTCTCGCTACTTCTACCACAAATCAAAGCTCAAGTGAATCACTGGACTTTTAGGGTAACTCCATCAGACCTAGTAAATGGGGGAGTTGCTCACCTCCTCTCATTTTCTCAAATTAGATCCTCACTGCTGACAACCAACATTCTCCACTGATCATAGTATTAATATATCTTATCTAGGGAACATTGTTGTTGTTCTTAAGTCTCAGTCTTTCCTGGTTGGTGCTATTTAAAGAAATTTTCTTCTTTCAGTTGAATTGGAAATAAAACTAGTGGAAAATCACATACACGAGGAGCAGTACATACTAAACTATATTAAAAATAAAGTTGCCTTGGGCATATGAATGAAAGATCAGAGGCATTATGACATCAAAGAAAGCTTGGCTATGGCACCAAACCATGCCAATTGAGCAAACACAAGCAAATTATACAATGGCCGAATGTGTCTGAAAGGAAAGGTACACATACCCACGAACCACCCGTCATCACATTTTTCCATCACATCAATGACATCACTTTCTCTGAGCTCCAGCTCATCTTCGTTCCTAGGCGTATAGTTATACAGAGCCTGAAACCTTAAACAGGAGAAACGGATGCGTTTAAAAAAAAATCTTTACACCTTTGTGAAACTATACAAGATAGTACAATATTCATCTTACTTTTACCATTTCTATTGTTATTAACATTTTAAATTAGGCAATGTAAGTCTCTGGTGAGCATGTAAAGTAAATAGACATATTTAGACTTTCACAGGTATTAGACCACTCTAACAGCATTTCAAAACTACCATGAGGAGTAGTCATGGAATACTGTAACATCCATGAGTTGGATTAAAACACTTTAACTTTTATTAATCAGACTCGAATTTCAATTGCCCAGTCATAAATATCATTCAGACATTAAATAACAGGACAGAATCTAAAAGAAGTGATAAGTGCATTATTCAGCTATTTAAAAACAAGGAGGAATTATAGTTTTAGCTAGTCATAATCAGAAGCAAAGAATTGAGGCTTGCAAGTTGGATTTTCAAATGATTCTAAATTGAGATGTACAAAATGTCTCAGATACATGTCTTCTAAATCACTATATGGGAACTGCTATAAAAGAGAAGGTTATTTTTTCACCAAGAGGAATTCTTTAAAGCAGTTTAGTTTCATAGTTTGAATCAGTGTTTTCTGAAGATTTGGAATTTGAAAATCTGATGTAATTCACCTATGAAATCAAATGGATGGATTCTATGCTCAGTTATCACTGAGACAATTTCAAACAGTAGATTATGGACACAGGTTCCTTTTTAAAATGGGTCCTGGAGAAAATGTGTTTAATGTAAAAACTCTCTCTAGAAATAATTTTATATAAAAAAGAATTACTGATAGAATGCTGCCACTTTCCTTTTTCTGTCTGAATTCTTTGAGAGCACATATTTTGTTGACATTGATCAGTCACGAATTCAGGCGTTGAATTTGTGGTAAAAAAAGAACATGTATTCTAATGTGTGTTAACGTGAACTGGCATTTTGGAAAGCGAAGACACAAATTCTAGCAGCTGAGGAGGTCAGGAAGTGTTTGATACGCAATTAATATGAAAACTTCATATTACTACGAAAATATTACCAGTACTGTGAGGGAGATTTAAAAAAATCAGTGAATTTGTTTCTGCTGCCCTTCATAACAGTTTTGTAATTCTGCCCATGTAAGAAAGTGCGAATCACATTTAAAGTCACTTTAGATTTTTTAAAGCCAATTTTAAAAGATTGATAATATTGAATACTGCTCAGGAACAAGAATGATTTATTTCTAATTACTTCAGTCAACAGATCATATTTTGGCAGAACAAAACTATTCTATCACTTGAACTCAAACATCATGTCATAAATCAGGGACACAGTTCTATTCGGCTTCCCTTGGCATCCGTGAACTTTTTCACACTGGGGGACCTGGATAAAGTTGGCTTTGTGGGGTTGGGGGGTGTCTGAGAAAGAGCTAGTAATATGTGGTGCCTAACACCCTCTCCTAGAAAACATTATTCTCCCTGGCCTGGTACGAAAGCCTGAAATTCCAACATTAGAGATTTCTTCCCATTAATATTTTGTCCTCCTAGTAAACCTTTTCAGCCACTTGTACTCTTTTGAGATTGGGCTTCTCAGGTCTTTTGTTGAGAAAGGATTCTGACTGTGGGGAAAGGCAGAGACAGGTAGCCAGAATCCCAGAGCAGTGGTGAAAAAGACAGGGAAGCATTGAATGCCAACATTAGTTAATCTGGATGTTTGCACGGGGCCAGCCCTGCTTGGAGTAGTCCAATTATTTTGCTGTTTGCTTCAAGAAATTGATTTCAGTCAATTTCAAGAATTTGATTTCAATCAATTTCAAGAATTTGATTTCATCAAGATTTGATGGTATCTTTGGTATCTCCATGGAGAAAGTTGATGTCACCATCATTCCTTTTCCAACGTCACGTTTGAGGGAGCGAGTCATCGCTGGGCTGCTAATTCAGTGGGCATGCACTGCATCTCTCACTTTGGGAAACACTGATTCTCTGATCCAGCTTTTACGGCTTCTGCCTCCACCCGGCACATCCCTAACCACTTACAGAGACAGGCCTATATAAGGCCACAAACCCCAGCTGCTTGAAGAATCTCAAGGTCCCAAGAGCTAAAAACCCCAAATTGGCATGAACTTCTACTTCACTTTGGTATGACAAAAGCCAGGGTGCTTGTCAAAAGTTACTTACCATTCTGGTTTAATTAGACCAAAAAAAAAAAAAAAAGGGAGTAAGGAGTTTCTTGGAAACATAAACAAACTTTCCGGAAATCCTCCTGCCTCTGTTGGCTCTCAAAATTAGCGTTGCATGACAGGAAATGCAGTTGGATTACAATTAAAAATGCTGTTTTGAAAGATGTGTTGGTGAGATGAATGATGGTGGTGGGGTCAAGATGCCTCCCAAAGAAATTTGTCGTTTAAATAGGAAGTGCTCAGCCAAACGGGAAGCTCTCTCTGTATCTTGCAACTTTCTCTGGAACATATTTTACCGTAATTCTGAATGGCAGAGACATTATAACATTATGTTTTTATTTTCACTCAAAATCTACTTTTTTAAATGAAAGAGATTAAGTGACACCCTCTAATCCCCCTAATTGGGGTTGTAATCAAATAGAAATTTAATAAAGAATGTTTTATAATGTCCAAAGCAAGATGTTGAAAATGTGCCTTCTGCCACCTGTGAGCTCTGTGGCTTCATCAATACTCAAGTGACCACGATTGGAGGTGTTAACTCCATATTACATGAAACAGTGTAATATAACATACCTATTAATTCAGAAACTCCTTACAAGCTGCTTAATATCATGTGTTGGTAATGCAATAAACCTAAACATCCCTGGAATTTATTTCTTGTGATATGATCCTATCATTGCTTGCATAAATAAGAAAACAAATCAAAACTTTAGAATTACAAGTCATATCTAAAGTTTTTCAAATTAAAGGAAATTTTAAATGATTCTTACTTCCAACCTGCTCATTTCATGATACAGGTTTTTCCTTAACAAGAACACCTTTCCGGCTGTACTCAGTGAGAGCCAGTCTCAGGTGGGAGCTGGTTTCTGAAGAGCATGCTTTTAGCTAAGTGCCAGGTCTATGAGGAGTGAGGAGGGAGACGATGGTGATGAAGTCAGCAGGGCACAGGCCAGGCCCTGCTGGCTGCTCTGTTCCAGGTGAACAGAGATTGGGTGGCTCACTGCGTGTGCTCAGGTATGCCTGACATGATTTAGTTCTATAAATGCTCCTTCCCAGGGGTCTAGCACCTGACTCACAGAAATAGGCAGGAGCCAATAGGAAAGAGATAACCTCTGAACACCTCTCATGGGCAAAACGGAGCAGAAAAAGACACACCAAAAAAGAGAATCTTAAAGACAATATGTGACATCTTCAAGTTGATTTGACTCATGTATCAGAAAGGAGAGGGAATCTGAAAGTGTGAAGAGGCATTTAACTGAATGACAGTGACTGTTTTAATACTGCCATTTTCAAAGAGCCTTCTAAGAACGTAACTTTGGAATTATGTCACTAACTTATCACTTTAGGTCTACTTTTACATTCTCCTGGTCTCCAAATACATATAAAAACAGTGTTGGAACATTTTTTGTGTCTTTGAAGCTGTAGTTACTAGAATCTACACAATGAGTAGAACAGAGGGAGACAGATTCATAAATCTGAGGACTCAATGCAGGTTTGGAAGGTTTTTCTAGTGCATAAATTACAGTCTTCTCCACAAAATCATGGGTGTCTTTTTAAAATTAGCTTCTGCTCTCCGTTATGAAAGGAGGAGACTATTGCAATTTCTCTTCATCTAGGAGGTCTCGTGTTAGTTACTTTGATTTCTTTCACATGCAAAGCTGTACCATCCTCTCTTTTGGTATGTCAGTTGTCCATTTTGTGGGTTCAGGTTAGTGTTGAATTTAGAAGACAAGAAGAATACTTACGGTTCCCCCCCAACTTGAATGTTTTCATGAGTAAACACAGGACGCTGTGGCTGAAATGAAATGATTTTCAATGTAATCAATGTTTAAACTGGTACTAATTAAAAGGTAATTTGGATAATGGCATGGTACTTTTCTTGACATTTAATATTTCCTGTTGTAAAAAACCAAGAGGAAGAAAGAAAACCAAAAAAAGGGTTTCTGCAGGATTAATAATTAAAATATTTTGAAGGGTGCTTTGAATTAAATCAAAATAACCAAGGTTCAAATGTTTTGAACACATCTACAATCTAGCCAGCTCAAGCTTTAAGGAAAAGGGTTTAGTCCCATTGATTTTTCAAAGGCCAGGAATATGGCAAGAACAGAGACACCAAACCACCAGAATGGGAAGTCTGGACACCTTCATACAAACTTATTCTTCAGTGATTTCTCAAACAAGCGGAAAATAAACCACATTTAGGCTAACAGCAAAGTATCCACATTCATTCCAATATGCTTTCCCTTCACAGACAACATTTTCACATCAACACAGATGAGAATATCAACAGGCAGACATGCCGTGCTACATTTGAATTAACATTCTCTGTCTTCAATGTAGAGAAAACACATGCATATTTAAAAAGAGAAAACAGAGAACTTTAAATAGAATTTAACAAACAATGTCCAGGTAACATGTAACATTTTACCTTAGAAGAGAAATATTGGTAGACATTCCCAGTGCACTGAACTCTCAAAAGAGTTTCCTTTCTTTTTAAACTAAGCATCAAGACCAGTATCTGTAATAGATACTTATAATATTGGAAATGACCAGCCTTAGCATCCCATACATCCACATAAATATTGCAGTGAATGAAAGTTAACACATTTGCTGAATATGTAAACTCAGTGTAGTTTATACTGACTACCTAAATGTTACCTCTTAGGGGAAAAAAAGCATTTCAATTCGTTCACAACACATTTCAAAAGCATTCTCTTCTAAATGATGGCTATATGGTGAAAGGAGATAAATCAGTTTGTGGGGCAATTATAAAAGTGACTCTTGGATGATAACTGAATTAGTTATTAGATGTCTTTAGATCTCAGGGCCAATTTCTGGATCCCAGAGTTATGAGCAGATTACTAACAGGCTGGGAACTTCCCCCACTGCAAATTGTCCATACAAAACCCACTGGTCCAAGATTGGATGGGGAACTCTGGAGTTCCCTTCAATCTCTAAGTCCACAATCTGCTCCATTCCTAAATTCTTTATTTACTCCTCTCAAGCTGTCTATCTAGAATAAGAAGACTAGATATTTATGGTACTAAAACTTTAAGCTTTGAATCTCCTTCATGAAGTGCTTATTAACAGTATTCTTAGAAATTCCACTCAACAATCTGTCCATGGAATACATAAATTTAAGACTAAAGAGTGGATAAAAATTATTGGACAGGTATGACTTAAGAGTGTATAATACTTTACGCTTATTAATCAATGTAAGATTACTAACAGTGTATCTATTATTAAAAATATAAAATATACTATTTTAAGAATAATTAAGACTAAACTGTTTTCCAGCAATTTTAAGGTCATTTAATTCAACACATTATTAAATCAATTTAAATATATAAAAAAAGGTAAATATAAGTCATCCATAAGCCTATATTCTATTATATTTCTTCAAGTTCTCATCCAATCATATATATGTAACTTTCATGCAGAAATAAGATTTGTATATATCAATTGCTATTAATATTTTGTAATAATTTTCCAGTTTTCTTTTCTCAGTCTTTTTCATTTTAAATCATTGCAGAATAATAGTCCTTCACATATGTGTATATATGTTTTTTAGTTCTCTTACCCATTTCTCTCTCTTTTTTTTTTTTGAAGTTAAGATTGGTGTAGCCTTTTTTTAGGAGTATAAATAACAATGCTATAAATATTTTTATACAAAGAGCTATTTTCTTCTTTTGAATTAGTCCTTAGAACACATTTCCAGGAGTAAAATTTCTGGCCAAAGAGTATACATTTAAGTTACATGATATTGAAAGTGCTTGTGTTAGTCACTCAAAAATACTATATATAAAAATCTAACTTAAAAAAAATCTAAAATGCCATTATTTCAAATCACATACCAAGATGGCTACTGTTATCTCACAAAAACAATCATAGCACCATTAACAGTGTGTAATAAAGTTATAAATGAGAAAATATTATTTGTTCTTAAGAGACAATGTTTTGTAAAATTAATTTCATTATGCTCTAAAATTGACGAGCATATTTCCACCTACTTAAACCATTCTAATATTTTTAAGTTGAGTAAAAGTTTTATTTTCACATGGTGGCATTAGACCAATAACTAACTAGTTGATCTAATTTCATTGCTCCCTTACGTTAAAATGTGAACACAACTTTAAAAACAAGATTGTTCATTAATATAGAACAATCTACTTTTAAACCCCTATAGCACCTTTTAGGTATTGTCATTACAGTTCAACTAGTTTAATTCCTTCAATTCAACTCATCTCATTGATCATTTAAATGAACCATCCCTTTGACAATTATGAAAACTGGGCTATCACTAGAGTACCACCAGAGTGTATGGCTCCCTTAATTCCGCTGGCCTTTACGTCTCAAGAACTTGTGTTCCTGGGTGTGCCAGCCAGTAATGTCCTCGCTCGTACCAATCTTTCCCAATATGTCTTTTCTCTTCCTTCATATCCTTTAAAAGGACCTCTCTGCCACTCCTTTTTTTTTGTTTTGGTGAGGAAGATCAGCCCTGTGTCAACATCTGTCAATGCTCATTTTTTTTGGCTGAGGAAGACTGGCCCTGGGCCAACATCTGTGCCCGTCTTCCTCCACCCTATATGGGACGCCACCACAGCATGGCCTGCCAAGCGGTGCGTCGGTGCGCACCCGGGATCCAAACTGGCGAACCCCGGGCCGCCGTAGCCGACCGCGTGCACTCAACCGCTTGCGCCACTGGGCCGGCCCCCCCTACTCCCTTTTTTAATCATCAATTTTCTATGCTATTCATATACTCAGGCCAGAATTTATCACAGCTTTTATTAGAAGTTGTGTATTTATTACAATGGTGAGTTTTAGAACTTTCCTAAGATTACTTTTAACAGGAATCATCCATGTCAATGTGGATAACTAGGAACCAGTTTTGAGGAAAGATGACCAGTTATAGTATTTGAATTAATTTATTTTAAAAGTATTTGGCCAAAAGAGTAAGCAGCATTAATAGTTATTTATGAAGGTACAATTGTATCTTTCTGGTGTTGGCACTGACTATATAACCTTGGATATGTACCTCAGGCTTCCTTATCTCTAACATCAAGGAGTTGGACAAGATGAAGATTAAGATCTTGTCCCCTTCAGGGAATCCATAAAGGACTCCACATTTCCACAAATACATTTCCTCTCTTATGTGTAGGTGCCATCATCAACCTTACACATTCGGTTGTCAAAGAGCTGTGACAACTGACATTTATCGGTTAATTCTCAAGTGTCTCAGTCATGTAAAAACAACAATAGTGATAATTCAATTTCATTTTGCAGATCAGTAAACCAAAACTCAAAGATAATTTCTTAATATCACAAATAGGTAAAAGGAAGAAACAGAATTATAATTTGACTTGCACTCTTTACTGCATAGAAGCTTTCTATGATGGATCAGATGGCCTAAGTTGGTTAAAGTCAGCATCTTTCTTTTGTCCTTTAGGCTAGTATTTATGTTCTCTGTGGATACTCAAGCCAATTATCTTAGGAGACTATCTTTTGCCTTTTCCACCCTGGTGTTCTAACTGTACAGGTACAAACCTTGAGAAAACCATCTGTAACGTATCTGCACTCTATTGCCACCTAATGGTGAGCAGCTGCAGCAACACACAGAAAGTTGTTTATGCCTTGGGTCGGTTCTCACCAAGTTCCTTCAGCCTGGATTCATTTTGAAAGGATGTTTTAAAGACCACAGAGCGATGTGGAATAGATATTCATCTGTTTTTCTGACCATGTTTTTCCCTTCCCACGTTTTAAATTCTTGAGAGAGGATCACTCTTTAGCCACCAGTATTTTTGGTCTGTGTTCATTCTATTTTAACTATCTGCTCAGGCATTTCTATTACTCATAACTTCTTAGCAGTTTTGCGATGAATATAGAACAATATACATTTGTGACTTTCAGAGAGCCTCACATGAACTGTGAGCTTAAGAAGATGGTTTTCAAGTTAACACATTGCAGACACTGTGCTGGAAATTTTGAGTGAGACTTATATCGTGCTTGTATTTCCTTGATGAGTCTTAAGAGGACAATAAAAGTTAGAAAATCCAATGAAGCAGCACACTATTTTCATGAAATCTTAAATATTTAACTTTTTCCTTGGCAACGTAACCATCATTTTTTTTTCTTTTTTAGTGTATTTTTTAATGTTGTCAAAAGTGGATACAAATGGGTCAGGTTTTAAACACACGCTAATTTTCAAAGCCAGAACCAAAGCCCAAACCACTGATCATAAAGGAAACTGGTTTGAAATATCCTGGAATCTCTGGTATCAGTAAAATATATACTTCCCTATCTCAGATGGTATCGAAAACCCATCTATTTATCTGTGCTTCTGCAGAGGCATCTCTGGAGGATTAGCTATGTCTAGTATTAGGTAATTCTTAAATAAAGATTGACTGTGACTTTAAATACTAATGTGGAAAAATCTTTAAAAGAATTATAAGCAGTTCTAGAGTTCTTAAATCATTTTTTTCCCAGAAAATTTTAGTTGTAGTACTTGCCAACCAGAATTAGAAAAAATTCTCCTAATAATAGAACCATGTTTATATTTATAGGATTATTTTTCCTTCTTAAATTATGAAGGTAGAACACAACTTTGCATAAATCTAAAGAACATAGACTATTTATGTTCCACACAAACACATATAACATACAAACATGTAAAGTAAAAATCTGGCAAAGAAAAAAACTTAAGGTGACCCGGAGCATACCATCTCATTGACCCATGGGAAATTTGTGGATGGGCCACATTAATTGAGGAAAAAGCTTTCTTTTTGTTTTGGCTCTGGA